CTGCTGGGCGTGGCCAACTTGGAAGCCAGCCAGAACTCCGTTCCTGTGCGTTCCTGCCCAAAAATAGCCCTGCCCACAACAGACACCCTGTGAGGTAGGTGGGGCTGAGAGAGCTCTCTCGAGAACTGCCCTTCAGAGAACAGCTCTGAAAGAATTTATGACTGACCCATGGTCACACCAGCAGCTGCAAGTGGAGGAGTGGGGAATCAAACCTGGTTCTCCCAGATTAGAGTCCACGCTCCTAACCGCTACACCAGACTGGCTCTCTTAAGACACATAATGTGGTAATTTGTAGCCCCCTTTGGTATAACTACTATTTGTGTCTCTTCTTCTTTAGTGTCAATAATTCAAAAAATTCAGTGTTCATCAGGGTTTCACAGTTCTTAGAATACTGTTGTTGTTGTGGTTAGCCTTTAAAGGAAAAAGCGTGGCCGTCAAAGGGTTATAACAGTGCATGAGAGACTAGTATTGATTACTGAAATCTTGCAGGATCTCTCCTCCCTTTGTGACCCACTGGAAACCATGTGGGGCTGTAATGTTGCTTTAAAAGATGCTAGGAAGAGCCAGTCTTGGAACACTCAGCATCTTGCCTGTTTTGAGTCAAAATCTCTTTTATTTGGGAGGTTTGGCTTCATCTCTGTTTGCTCATTGTGGTGCGTTCCTTTTGGAGGGTGCATTTGAAATAGCACATTTTTGCTCAATCTTCCTAAAAATAAGACAAGGACCCTCAATCCCACAAACTGATACTGATCGTCTAAGGTTAGTTGGTTTGCTTCTTCATACCTTTGCTTGTGATCTTGTATCTTAAAGTACAGCCCTTTCAGCAATGAGTCTGGACAAATGGGTCTCAGAGTTGTCCCTGTATGTGGGAGCTGGTTCTCAGCTCATTCTTTTTGCATGGTGACATGAGAGTGCAACCCCCCATTGTAAACCTGTGCAACATGTGATGTGTCAAAAGCCAAATACATGTGCAAGCCTGATTTATGTAAGGCAGAAAAAGCTAATGCAGTCTGAGAGGAAAATGACAGATCGTGCAAATGATTCTTTTAGTGGCATCTTTACTGATTCCCAGGTACTTTTGTGTAGATGCCTCAGGTTAGTGGCAGCCTGAAGTCAAATTCTCCCAGTCTTGATGTGAATACTGGGTAAAGAATGGGAGATCAAGTGCAACCATCATAGACAGTAAGAGTGGACTCTAGATTGTATGCCCTCCCTTGTGCTTCTCACGCATTGATTCTTTTCATTCTTCACTTGATAGCTTTAGCCATGATTAAGGGATATATCCCCACTGGTCTTTAGTATGATTAATTGTAACAGTGGCGCCTGTTGAGGTTGGGGGTCTTTGAAGCTGACTTTCAAATCTTAGTTAAGATGGGTCTTCATTAGCATTACTTGTGGGTTTTGGTGCAGATGTAACCTTTAACATAGTAAAAGCTGTTGGGGAAATGTGGGGTGCAATTGATGCAAAAGAGAGGGACAGGTTAATGGAGAAGAAATGCAATATCCCGCAGTCCTTTCCCAATCTAATCATATTTTCAGATTAGAAAGGTTGCATCTGCACTGTACTGCCTTTTTTTTTTGGTAAACAAAAAAGCTGTGGTACTTATGGAACACAGTTTTCAGATCATGAGTTTAGAAAAAGTGTTCCCTGAAACATACATATGTGTATATGAGTGGCATACTTTTTCAAAAGAAAAGGTGGTACTTCTAGCATTGCTACACAGTGCCAAAGAACATCTATCTGTGGGCAGTGGAAGAACAGCGTCATCTCTTTGTTATTTAGAAGACAAATACATTTTAGAGTGGCTTTCTTTTCAGCAGAGAAGAGGAGCTCAGGTTACCCGGGAAGACTTCGGCTGGTCTGACACTGCTAAAAATAACTTGAGCAGAGTTGTTTGTTACATTTAAAAGCCAAATATTTTACAACCGGTTAGATCAGATATGACACAACATTGGTTAGGCTAAAGCCTGTCAGTGTTTTCCCTGGCACTGTGAAAACAGCTTATCTCTTGAAACATTGGTAGGTTTAAACCCACAGATGGGTCACCCCTGTTCTAAGATGACTTGCACCAGTGGCACCTTCACTTTTTTGTTTAGGATTGTTTAAGAGAGAAGGAAAATTAGGATTGTTAGAGAAACAAAATGATGAGACAACAACATTAATGAGACTTGAATGAAGGAGTTGTCCCTAATACAGTAACTAATATGTTCGGATGTGTGAGCTTCAAATGAGGAAGAGTATGACATTTAGAGTATGACAGTTGCTACAGAGCTTCCTTGCATTTAAAGTAAGAATTGCAGCGTGCCAGTGTCCCCTCCCTATAAAAATGTGATGCAAGATATTCATATCACTGTTGGAGGCTTTCTATCGGGCATCACCACCATGTTTTTGACATCTTACTGTAGGAATGAGATGTTAAAGTGACAGCCTGAAAGAGGTCTTCAGTAGAAATACTGAATTTTGGAGAAAAATGCAAAAGAAGAGTGAAAGTAAAGGACAAAATTGCAGATTTGATACTGGTGTACCACAATATTGCTTAATCCAGGGCCTAATGAGTGAAAGTGTCTTCTTAGTCACTGGGAATTTGGTTTATAGAGAGTTTTATTTAGCCGGCTGATTTATAGCTCAAACTTCTTGTAAGGATCTTGGGTGTTAAAATTGATGATTATATTATGGGTTGGATTGTTCCACTCCAGTCAGTTGATGGTAGGTTTCTACACGTTTTCCCACAGCAGTGAAATGTATTAGGTAAGATGAAGTCAAAGTTAATTTATATGATAATAGGCAACTTCATTCTGTTCTTTTGGGCTTTTCTTAAGAGTGTATTTTTGTCATTAAGCTGATGAATCTTCTATAACCAAGTGTGCTTACACTGCTTCTTTTGTTATAAGTACACACACAGAGCTCTAATTGTATCCATGTTGTCTCTCTTCAGGTTTCTCTCTAATGGTCTTTGTGTAGTCAGTATTCTTTAATATTATTTTCAGAGGTCACATACCCCCTTGCATTTGATTGCTTATAAATATACCCCCTTGGTCAGTGCATGAAGAGCAGAGAGCATAAATCTGTTGACATATTACATCTATGAATGCTTCTGTATTATTCTTCAAATAAACCACATCTGGATGAAATCTGAGATTTAATGTTGTGGTTTGCATAGTACAGTAGGATGTATTATACTCTCTGTATGCTTTATTGGAGACCAGACACTGGGGAAGCAGGCATAAACTCTGGTTGCTACCAAAGTGAATCAAAATTTATGGACCTCTAGATACCGACCCCAAGTCTCCACTGAGCATTCATAAATCACAGATTATATTTAATTTTCTGGCGACCAGGCATTTCCCATTAGGTTTTTTCCTTGCTTTCCATATAGACTCCCTTTTATTTGAACTTTCTTATGTACCTAAAACATTCCTAACAGAATGTTTCAAATATGGGAACTGCAGTGACATCATAGGATAACTATACATATTTATGTATTTAACAGTCTCCTTGGAACTTCAACACATTTTACCCTTTGTAACTTAAGTAGGTTTCTTGTTCATATTTACGCATACTTAGTGTCTTGTGTACATCCATGAATTGATCCTGTCAGTTTTAGAGGTAAGGTTTTTGTTTTTTGTGCTTTTATATTGTGACCTCAACACATTTGTCCCCTATGGGCTGTTTTGCAAATGATATTTTCTACACTGAGATAATCGCCGTGTAGGGGGAAAACATGTATGAAGCAACAGCTTTGAGATATTTCAGTGGCAGAACTCATATTTTCTGTCAGTAGTCTTGAAGACCTCAGACAAAGATCCTGTCTAGTCCTACATGCAATCCTGCTCTGAGGACCTTCTGCTTACGAAGCATGTGCTGTAGCACTGAACACTGATGAGAACTTGTGACATTACTTTAAGATATTCCTTTAAGATATTACTTAGATGGGAAATGGAAAGGACCAGCTTTCCTGCTTGGTCACCAAGATGCAATTTGTATCTACCACAGGTAACCAGGCAAATGACTACTTACAAGCCTGCTTTAAGATTCATTTTAAATTCTGTGCAGACTTTAGCTTGAGGACTTCCTGACAAAGTACTAGAGATCCATCATGAAATAACAGGTATAGTATTTGTAACAAATAATAGGTGTATCTTAAGATACATCTAAATGAAATTACGATACGGACTTGGATCCAGCAATGTACAAGCAGAAACATAAGAACATAAGAGAAGCCAATGTTGGATCAGACCAATGGGCCATCCAGTCCAACACTCTGACACGCAGTGGCCAAAAATACCAGTTGCCATCAGGGGGTCCAGCAGTGGGGCCAGGACACTAGAAGCCCTCCCACTGTCCCACCCCCCACACCAAGAATACAGTGCATCACTTGCCCCGGGCTGAGAGTTCCTATTTATACCTTGTGGCTAACAGCCACTGATGGATCTCTGCTCCATATGTTTATCTAATTCCCTCTTGAAGCTGTCCATGCTTGTCACCACCTCCTGTGGTAGTGAATTCCATGTGTTAATCACTCTTTGTGTGAAGAAGTACTTTTATCCTCACCCAACTGCTCAGCAATTTCATTGAGTGCCCATGAGTTCTTGTATTGTGAGATAAATGGACATAGCATAGTTCTGCTTGTGCAAGATCTTGTGCAATGCATAGCACTTTCCTCTCTCTATATTATAGTGCCCGGAAATTCATTGCACATGATCTTGTGCAAGCAGAAATACAAATGAAGATACTACACATTTGAGTAACTGCCAGTGGCTAGCTACCATTGTCTTTTTCTTGCACTTCTGCTTGCACAAGAGATTTAGCACAAGCGGACATTTTGTGCTGGATCCATCCCAAGAAGTCTTATTACAAGGAACTTCTGAAGCTCTGCAGTAAGTCTTCCAAAGATGTAAATACCACATCAGCCATGTGGCTGCTTGTAACTTTGCCTTTCAGACCCCCTGTTCACTTTAAGGTAGCTGACAGATCTTAATTCTACTTTCCTCTTTTGCAGCAGTTTGTGACTGGAATTGGAATGGATACATGCTGATAGCATGATGGAAGAGACAGAAAATTTTTCATCTCTCAATTCACTGACTAAATACTATCCTGTTAAGGAGGCTGACAAAACTGATCAAAGTGGCAAAGCTCAAAGGAGTGAAGGAAACCAAGGAACAATGCAGCTGAAAAAAGAAATCTCTCTTCTTAATGGGATCAGCTTAATAGTAGGAAACATGATTGGTTCAGGTATCTTTGTTTCCCCCAAAGGAGTACTTAACCACAGTACATCATATGGATTGTCGCTAGTAATTTGGGCAATTGGGGGCATTTTTTCAGTCATTGGTGCTCTCTGCTATGCTGAACTTGGAACCACTATCACTAAGTCAGGAGCCAGTTATGCATATATCTTGGAGGCCTTTGGAAGCTTCATTGCCTTTATACGCCTGTGGACCTCACTGCTGATCATTGAGCCAACCAGCCAGGCAATTATTGCAATAACTTTTGCCAACTACATAGTGCAACCAGTCTTCCCTTCTTGTCAACCTCCTTATGTTGCTTGTCGACTTATTGCAGCTGCCTGTATATGTAAGTATTTTGCAAAAGCGAGTGTGAGACAGCTGGGTTGATGTAAGCTTGGGGGAAGAGAGGAGCCTGTCTGTGTCCTTGTGGCAAGGTTGCTTTAAGTGCTTGTGGGCCAGTATGCAGCTGTTTCCAAAAGCAATTAATAAGATTAAGGTGATCTAGATAACCAGGAAGAGAATAGGAAAATCCTATTGATATTTACTATAGATGATTACTATTAGAATGTCCAGACCCAACTGCAGTGACTTGCTGGAATACACCTAAGGCCTCTCTAGTCCCATACCTTGGTTGTAGTGTTGGGCAGTCACACATTTCTAGAAACCCATAGACAGGACAAGGCTGATGGTCATCCCAAGTCTATTCCTATCATTTAGTATCTGATGGTGGTCTTCTGCCTCTGAACACAGGGGTTCTGTATAATAGTTGTGATGGCCCATCCATGAATTTTTTAAGGCCATAACAATATTGTATGGCTATGAATTTTTAAAGTTGGTTACGTGTAGTATGACCAAATTGTTCCGGTGCTTTGTTTTGAATCTACTGCTGATTGGTTTCATCAGGTTACCCAGAATTCTAGTTGTACTCTCCTTAATTGACTAGGTTCCTTAATTAAAAATCTCCCCAACATTTACCTTATTTATTATTTAAAGGCCTTCTAGGTTGCTTTTCAGGAGCTGCGGTGGCTCAAGTGGTTAAGACGCTGAACTGCAGGCTGTGGAAGGTCAGTAGTTCAGCGGTTCAAGACCCGGGTGCCGCAAGACAGGGTGAGCTCCTGTCTCTAGTTCCAGCTCCTGCCAACCTAGCAGTTCGAAAGCAAGAAATTGCAAGTAGATAAATAGGTACCACTTCGGTGGGAAGGTAACAGCGTTCCGTGCGCCTTGGTGTTTAGTCATGCCGGCCACATGACCACGGAAACGTCTTCGGACAGCGCTGGCTCTTCGGCTTTGAAACGGAGATGAGCACCGCAACCCTAGAGTCGGATTCGACTGGCTTTCGAGCAAGGGAACCTTTACCTTTACCTTTAGGTTGCTTTTCACCTGCTGTTCCCAAGCACTGTATAGAACAATTCCATAAAGCTTCTTAAAATCAAATCATAAAACTGACAAATACCATCACCAGCCACCAAACAGAGACTGACAGTGCTGTCCTAAGCTTAGTTGCATCCTTTTAAGTCTATGGACTTCGGTGGACTTGGAAGGGCATATCTCTGCTTAGGATGGTGCTGTAAGTCTCAAAGAAAGAAGATATCATGTCACAGAGCGTGTGAGAGTATGTGCATGTGCACCAAACAATAGTTAGAAGAAGAGTGTTTGAAAGCTGTTTCGCCTTGTAGCAGACTGCTAGCACCTGGATCATTGTAATGAGCCATTTCAGTACTTTTCCATTTTATGATGCCTTTTTTGACAAGAACATGCACAACATTCTAAATATTGTTATACCATATACTTATAGCATTATCAAAAAGAAGATTTACATAGAGCTTCCAAACAATCAGGAGTTGAGGCTGAGAGTCAGAGCTAAAGAATATATAAGAGAATTAGGAAAATCAGATAGGTAGTATTGCTTCTGTCAGGTCTGTCTAGGATGGAAGTGCAAAATAATTATTTCTGTCCCTGGACTTGATGGACTAAGGTTAGGGTCCCATGGCCATTAATACGCAACAATATTTTTATGAATCTGTGAAAATGCCATTTAAAATAATTTATTGAAATTGAGTTAATGATTGGATCTGCAGAGTCTTAGTCTGAAGGTGGTCTTGTATAAGCTGAAAGTATAAGAGTTTTCATTAGCAGTATGGATCATATTTTTGGTAATTCATTATTGTAACATCATATAGAAGCAGTGCACCCTATCACTGATATTATTATTAACAACTTCATTTATAGACTGCCTTTCTCACTGAACCTCAAGGCAGATTACAAAATAGGAAAGCAATTCAGTCAGACGTTTTCTTGTTTTTCAAGGGATTTAATTGTACGTTGATAGAAAATGGGAAATAGTTCATTTTTAGGTTTCTGTAATGCCTTTCAACCCAAACTGGGCACTCAGATCAGCAAACCACAGTAATTGAAACCATTTAAAAATAACTTACAAAGACAGCAAGTGTATTCCTCCCACTCTCATTTTTACAGAGGACATTTCTTAAAAAGTAGTACAGTAATTTATAAAATACATCATAGGGGTAAACCCCTTCTGGGGGAAAAAGGTAGGCTACCTGTGCTTCTATAGAAAGTCCAGAAAGAAAATGCTTAAGCCCAGTCCTGTCATGTGGCAATGGGTGGGAAGCTAAGTGGGAAGGCAGCAGAATCCTCCGGACAACCAAAAGTGGAGGACTTTAATGACCTACAGCTAGAACCAGCAATTGCTTTCTTGATGACAGTGACATGATAGTACTGCAAGTGAGATACGTGCTGTGGTCCTGTTGGCGGGTTAAGGTTTTGGTCTCGTTCAAACTTGCAATACTTCATTTTGTACAGGATTGAGCATTGTTATCCAATGACAACTTTGCTTGGGACCGTCTATCAATAATTGTAATACTGCCTCTTGAGGGAGGTTGTTTCTCTGGGACTCCTAGGCTAGGGTATGTAGCAATTAGACTGTGGGGGCTGGTGGGCAGACATCTCTAGGTCTCCTGATGCAGTTAGCTAAGGGCTCAGGGGAGCAAAGAGCCCCTATCTGTGGAGGAAGTGGGAGGATCTCATCCTGTTACAACTGTTCCTCTAATGAATTATGAACTTTGGGAACTTCCCAGCTCCTGGTCTTGGCAGGCTTCTCAGAGGATGGCAAGTTCCTGTTGCATCACAGCATCAGATTGGCTTACTACAGAGTCCTGGTTGTGAGATACTTAATTCAGATGCAGAAGATGGGCAAGCACATAATACATTGATCCTACCACCAATTGCTTTTGAAAGTAGATTTCCTTGTATCAGTGAGACTTAATTCCAAGGAAGAGATCTGTGAACTGAAATTAATGCACACAGTCACCCCAGAAGCCACCTAAATCCCATCTGGCTCCATTTTATGTGTGTTGCTAATACGATTTGAGAGGGGTACATCCACAGAGATCAGTTCCAATAAATCCCCTGTTGGTAAACCAGGAAATGGTTTTGTGGCTTCTGTATCCTTAGACGGCTGTCCTGTATGTCTATTGACTCTGTCCAATATGCCTTGCATGTTCAATACTGGATAGAATGAGGGGGTCACAACCTTAAATGTTACATAGGCTGACTGAAGTGTTAGTAGGTATATTTTTCTCTTATCATCCTTACAGATATTCTTGTGTATGTAAGTGCTTTCTCCTGTCACCCCATTCAGCTCTGACCAAACTAGAAAATAATGTACTATCTGAAGCAGAACACTCTCCCTGACTCCCTGTTGTTCTTTTATCTTTGCTTGTATTTTGTATTTTTAACTTGTTGCCAAAATAGCTAGAGTTTCTGAATCTGTTGCCACCTTTATGGATGTTGTGGCCATGCTATATTCTGTTCATGCATGGCCAGAACTTAGAAATGGGCTTGGCTTCTCACCCCCCAGTGAAATTCAACTAAATTCTCAGTGCTTTTGTAGCTGAGCTCAGTAGGGAGGATGCAAGTGTAATTTTTTTCATACAAGGTGATTATTTTATATTTAGAAGAGCATTGTTTTCCACCTGCGATAGGGCGTTGAGAACAGATTCTCTATCCATGGATACAGTGATAGGTCAAAATATTTATTCATTGCTGCATAAATCAGGTATTTTTAAAGTAGGACACAATGTATGTGTTGTCCTACTTACCTCCTGAGAAGACAGGTCAAGGCAGTTGTGGGTGGAAACTTGGCTGATAACATGGTTACCATCCACTATACTGAGGCTGAGATTTCATCATGTTTATGTTTACCAAGCTGTTCCATAGGTACTTTGTGCTGTTGTCACAAGATATTCCCTGTGTTTCTTCATTGGCTTGTAAAATAGCCCTGACTTAGCAGAAAGAACTTGTGCTATAGCATATGGTGGTAAGTTAAGCAGCCCTTGAATATTTTTACTGTAAGCCCCATTGCAACTGCTTAGCCTCCAGCAGTCCAGGGGATTCTGTGGCTTCAGATTCTGCTCTGCAAGCTGCCTCTTATGCCCTGCCCCTTTTAGCCAGGTCCCATCAGCTCCACTCTCAATGGTGGGGGTGGAAAAAGATGCAGAGCTTGGGTCTTGTTTTTGTAGTTCAGTTGAATATGAACAGTTCCTGACTGTAAGAATGACTACCTTTGGATAAATGGAGAAGGCACAGATCAGTTTTCTTATTACCACTCCATGCCCTCCATTTAGTTTAATGAAAGCATTAATTTAGCATAGGTTAGTGGTAGCATTGAATATTCTCCATGTTTGCTGTTCTATAGGTAGTGTAAGGATAAAAGGCTTCAGAAGGAAAACCTTCTGTCTGTATGCTTAATCCACAATTAGGTGCTCTTTATTAAATTGCTATCACAGTGACTGAGCTCAGACCATTTTTCAAATCAGGGTTGGGAGGTCTGGTAACATGCCGTAGGCTCCCGCACTCACACCTCTGTTGTGCTGGAGTTTTCCCCATTCATTTGTAGGCTCTTCTAATATTTTTTTGCTGTGATATCCAAACAGGAAAAATAATAGAGCTAATCTCTAAACTGTGATCTGAAACCATGATTTGAAGTGGGATTGCAAGTCATGGCTGAAGCCTAGCACTCAAGTTTGATTGCCCAATTTTGTGGCACCCAGAAATTGGCATGTGAGACTACGGAAGAAAAAGAGGGACAGTATGTGCATGCCAGGGTTTGTGTGTGTATGTGTTTTTAAACTACATGATTTACAGACATACACAATGAAATAGACAGTTTTGGATGTTGAGGTGGGTATGTGTGCTTGTGTTCTTGTTTATTGAAATCATAACTTTTCCGTGGCGCATAGCTGAGGAGTTTAAAAAGCTGATATTAACATTTTAAGTTATTGCCGCATCATGATTTACCATTTATGTTCAATTGACCTGAAAGGAAGGAGATTACAATTTTGCTAACATGCTTTCCCATTATAAACAATTGTGCTTTTTGGAGTTTACCAAGTAGGTAATTGTTCAGAGCTGTTCTGTACTTTTAAACCAATTTCTTCATTCAGCAAGGAATTATGTATGGCTGCTTGCCACATTTTAGACTATCCAAAAGCATTCTGCAGCTACCCTTGTATGCCTAATCCTTGAGACTAACCATCCTTTGATGTTGTTGAATATAGGGGTTCCTAAGTGGCACTTCCTGTTTTCATTAGGAATGCTGTAGTTAAAATGAAAGCTGTTTACTAATCATCCTTCACTGTGAAGGCGCCAACTGCAGGATGATATCCCTAAGGTTAGGTTGGGACTACGGCCAAGAAATCTTCTCATGCCAGAACCTCTCCATATGAAGTATGTATGTTGTGAAGTCATCTCTATTTTGCACTAAGGGAACAGAGACCACTGATATGAATTCCTTTGCCCACTACAGTTCTGCTTAATCCAGTCTGCTAAAACTTGTTTGCACTAATATGTAGTTGTGGGTTGTTAACTCCAGCATGGAGCAGAATTTCAGGCTGGTGTTTAATAAAACAGAACACTCTCTAATGTCCTTCTTGCTTCCCTTTTTGTTTCCTAGGTCTCCTAACGTTTATAAATTGTGCCTATGTTAAGTGGGGAACCAGGGTGCAGGATGCATTCACCTATGCCAAAGTCACTGCCCTTATTGTCATCATCATAACAGGAGTTGTTAAACTATGCCAGGGTAAGATAAACAGCTCAATACATGAAAGTGTGTATTTATCAGAATACAATATTGAGAAGCACCTGTTGGCTTGTTCATGGATAAATATCCTCAACATTTATCAGTTCTGCCTCTCTCAAGCAAAGCTGATCCATGGTAATGAGCTTTAATTGGGCTAACGTCTGTTAGCAAAAACAGAACTTGCATGATTGTGTAATCTTCAGGTAGGAACAAAAACAGGATTGATAATGAGAACCTGTTATAAATTAGCAGCCTAATTTTAATTTAATAAGGAAACACTTTGGAATAGCTCACAGTTAATAATCTTCTTTTGCATTTCAGCTAGACACAATGCATGTTATCGATTTCAAGTGTTTAAAAGGAACATTGCATATGCTGTTCTGGGTGTGCGAAGGTTTTTGATAAAATTAAAACTCCAGTACAGATTTTAAGAAATTTGGTTCCAAGTCTGGTTGGTTCCTAGGGCAGTGATGGCAAACCTTTTAGAGACCGAGTGCCCAAACTGTGACCCAAACCCCACTTATTTATCGCAAAGTACCAACACGGCAATTTAACCTGAATACTGAGGATTTACTTTAGAAAAAACAACTCATACATTAACTTAAGATGATCCAAACAAAGTAAGGAAAGCAATCCCAAATGCTTTCATTTACTTAAAATTATTTGGCAGAGAATTCGCCACTTTAATTATGGTCTGGGCCTGGCTGGGGCGATGGCACGTGTGCCCACAGAGAGGGCTCTGAGTGCCACCTCTGGCACCCATGCCATAGGTTCGCCACCACTGTCCTAGGGGATGTGCTTATGGTTTGAGCAAGTCACAGTTCCTGACTGTAGTAACTCCTCTCATGTTTGAGAACGAAATTAGCTAAATGTATCCTGAGGGAGTGGATCAGGTAATTATAGCTAAAAGCAAAATCCAAGATAAAAGCATCTTGTTTTAAAAGCCATGGCTTTTAAACCTCATATCATTATTTGGAATGTTTCGAAATATTCTGCTGCTGATACAGGATATTTCCCTGTGGTGTCCATCACATCCTGAAATGGTACATATTGCATGAAATCAGTGCTCAGGGAGTCTTTCTGTTAGCAATGACATTTTGTTTTATTCATATGTAGCAGAGCCCTTGTAGCTGAAGATTTTATGCACATCTGTGCAAATGCAAAAATTTACGTCTAAGTTAGGGTTGCCGGGTCCACTTACCTGGCCGGCAGGGGGTTTCTGACATCCTTCCAGGAGACTAGAAGTGATTTCAGGTGACTTCTGGTAAAACTGGAAGTGCAGGCCCCGGCACAATGACGTCACCCAGAAGTGATGTCATCATGCTGGGGGTGACGCTCTGGTTTTTGGGTGAAACTCTGTGGTAAATTTGGCTTTAAACCATAGAGTTTTGCCCGCAAACCAGAGTGTTGACATCCCCAGCGTGATGACATCACTACTGGGTGACATCATCACATTGGGGCCTGTACTTCCTGTTTTACCAGAAGTCGCCCAGGAAGGTCAGTTGGGGATATAGAACCCTAGTTCAAGTACATGCAAAACTGAAAATACTACTATAATGAGACATTGTGTGTATATCTTTGTGATGTTAAATCTTCTGTAACTACGGTATGCGTTGGTTTGTAGACATTTTTTTTAGTTCAGAGTGTCACACCAGCTCCTTTTTTTACTTTATTCAAAACACTTAAAATGGTGGCTAAATTTAACTAAATTTAAAGTTTCCATTTCAAAAATGGTTTTCATATGACATTGGGGATTGCTTTTTGAGAAACAGAAATCCAAAGGCCCTCTAAGGATATAGAACAGGGTGTATAGTTCCTTGGGTTCTGACTTGTGCATGTTCTTTGATTTCTGACTTGTGTGTGGAATGAAACCCGCATTCTCAGACACAGGTGGTTGTTTCACAAAATATCAAGCATGCAAGTTCACATGTACGTTTGGGCATATGCATGTGATATGCTCAGTACAGATAGTCATGCCTACAGTGGTTGGTGATGTGCATGGGATTGTACTTTGCAACCTCTGTACTTCTAACCAGGGGTCATTTAGTAGAAAAAGAGGTGCAGGAACTCATTAGCATACCTTATTTGCATATGCCACACCCCCTGACATCACCAGAAGTGTGTCAGAAGGCAACAAAAGGCTCAGGCTCCACTGGACTGTTTTGGATTGCTAGCTATTGGGGGAGACAAGACGTGCAGATCTGTCCTCACAGAGGAGAGAGAGCTTGTACCTGAATAAAACCTGGTCTTAAAGGTGCCATTGGACTGTTTTGGACCAGGGGGCCGGGGTGGGGGGGCTATGCAACTTACCTGGCTGCTTCTTGCTCTGACTGAGAGCTGCTGGGAGCAGGGGGTGGGGCTTGTTGCATGTGCCCACCCCCTGGGCTCTTTACTGCCGGAGCTCCGCTCCTGTGTGCTCCTGCAGGAAATGACCCCTGCTTCTAACTCTTCAAAATGCCACTCCCTTCACAGTATAATATACTCTTTAAACTGAACAATGATTTGGCTCTTCAGCTGTGGGAAACGTCTCCAGAGAAAGCATTGGCTTGTTGAATTGTGGCCCCATGCTTTGCAAGTTTCATTTAATTATTTCGATATACTATTTTTTCATCTGTTATGTTGCTTTAACTGTAGTTGAACTGGAAGCCCAACCAATGGAGTCCTTTTAAAAGCAGCCCATGCAACTTCTGTGTGTTGTAAGGTTGCAGCATAAAAACAAAAGCACACTGCACTTTAGCCTTCAATCACATCCCCCCTTATCTATTGTTCAGTTTTGAAACAACTGAGCCTGCTGACTTCCCCCACCCCCCATGAATTGAAGTATTCCAGCTATTGTGGCTTTATCAGGTGTCTGTGTATAAGCTTTTATTCCTGTTTATTTTGGAAGGTTTCTTAGTGTGCTGACTTGAAAAAATAGGAAGCCTTCATTTCCACAGTGCTGAAAATGTGTTTTGTACTATTTGTCCTTTCTGTATTTAAAAGAGCTGTAATACCTTCTCCCCTCCTCATCTTTTGTGCCCGTGTAGGATAACACATGAACATAACACAGTCACATATTTCCTGAAAATATGATTTTTGTTTTTAAAATCCTTGTAACTCCTTAGCCATCTTTATTTTAACCTGCTGCTGTTTCATATTCCTAGTGCTGCACAGGGATGTTAAAAATATGAAAATGATGAGAGAAGAATTGGACATGCTACTTTCAACTTAAGCATTGCAAAGACTTCAGGCTGATGCGTGCCTTAGCACTCTTTAAAATGTTTTTGCAGTTTAGGCCAAATAAAATCAATTATTTTTAAAATGCATTTATGGAACTCCCCTTTCCATTTAAAGAATACAGTTGAAAAAAGTCAAGTTAGACAGCATTCTTGTTACTGCTAGTTAGTGTAATGTGGGAATTGTAGTCTAGGAATACATCCTTTTTTGTACACCAGCTACTCAGAAATTAAAGATTGTTTGGTATGACTGTTCCATTGTGGGAACTCACAGTGCAATTGTAAGTTGATCTGTTGAGAATCCTGCTTAGATCTGTTCAGTGGAGCTTATTCCCAGGAGAGTATTGTTAGGATAGTACTAGGATAGGAGAGGATAGTCAGCATCCCAGGTTTTGGTTTTTGCTCCATTGTCTCTGCAGTCATAATCTTTTTCTTAAGTAGATCAAATACCCAATTCAGTGTAATGGTTAAGAACATTGCTACTTGGTCATTTCCTTTTATACCACATGTGCCTTTTGTAACTTATGCCCAACCTTGCATGGTTAGCTTCAAAACTAACTTCAACATTGGATAAACCCAAATTAACAAATGACATTAAGCCTCACTGTCCATGACCGTTCCTTTTAATGGTCCATGGAACACATCCGCTTCTGTTATTGACTTTGGGTTGGGTCCAAACCCTTATCTTGCTCAATGTTGCTAATAGAATTTTTTTTTGGAGCCAGTTTAGTGTAGTGGCTAAGAGTGGCAGACTCTAATCTGGAGAACCTGGTTTGATTCCCCACTCCTCCACATGCAGCCAGCTGGGTGACCTTAGGTCAGTCACAACTCTCTCAGAGCTCTCTCAGCCCCACCTACCTCACAGGGTGTCTGTTGTGGGGAGAGGAAGGGAAGGTGATTGTAAGCCACTCTGAGACTCCTTTGGGTAGTGAAGGGCAGGGTATGAAACCAATTCTTCTTAAATGTTTTAGATTGGTGTAACTTTAACCTACATGCTTAGAGGGTAATAGATGAGATTGGAAAAATCACACGTGTAGATGGTTCAGGTAGTAGATTTTGCTCTTTTGGGTATATACTCCTTTTTGATTCTTCCACAGAAGGGATCCCTCCATACCTTAGGAAATGTCATTTAGGGGGTCTGTTGGTAGTTACCTACCTCTATGGATAAACATCAGAGAAAGAGTGAGTGATTTATTAATCCAAACCCATAAAACCGCACATGAAGGTTTCAGTCCCCGTTGCCATTAACGTTTGCAAAGAAAGGTTGAGGGCTTTAGTGATGTTGGGCTTTGTTTTGTTTCTTGGTTCTATAATAAGATGAGCTGTTTGCATTCTCCCTATTTGTGAAAGGATTAGCTTTTTTATATACATGCATTTAAGATTTTGTGTGCAGTTAAAAACATTGAGAGTGAAAGGAAAATATGAGCTAATTATATGAATAACTTCATAGTAAAATGGAATGCTATAACCAAAAGATAATTGTGTATGATTTTAATTGGTATTAAAAATACATATTGTGATATCCAGGATTATTATTCCACATACGTCAGCAAGGGATCATAGCAAGGCAATCGTGTTAACTTCAATTTAAATTTCAAGCCTGTATAGTGCTTGTTATGAGCTTGTCTATGTTGGCTTTTTTGTGAGGCAGCCATGCATTGAATTGGCCTTTCTTAGCAGTTGAGCAAAACTGAAGTTGACTTTTCCCCTTTGTCAGGAAAACAGGAAGGAGAGAAAATGAGGCCTAATCTATAGATATGCAGCAGAATGAGGAGCCTGAGAGGCTGGCTTTACCACTGTATCCCTGCTGATGGGGATGCTATTTTTTAATACTTTCCCCTTATAACTGTTTGCAAGCAGACATGTAGGGCATCAGGGAGAGTGTATCTAGTTTTCTACTTGCATGGTGGTTTTTGTTAATTTCTTCGTGGATGTATTTACAACTAAACATTTTTTAAAAAAAACAATGAGATGTTGCACCTGTAGTTTGATGTGTTAAAGTCCATTCTCCCCTGTTATTCTGTTGCCTGTGTAGATCAGATTTCTGCTTGCCACCTTCAAGGAGCTTTTGTTCTTGGGTTATGTTCCATCCTTGTGTAAACAACTTAATGTTGTGTGTGCCAACATTATTGATTCCTGTGTTTTTCCTTTTGCGCACAGGATACTCTCAACACTTTCAGGACTCTTTTGAGGGATCATCTTGGAACCTTGGGGGCATTTCTCTTGCACTTTACTCTGCCTTGTTCTCATACTCAGGTTGGGACACCCTTAATTTTGTAACTGAAGAAATAAAAAATCCAGAAAGGTAAAAGTTTCTTAAAGGTGTTACCTCATTAAATTAAGTTTTCAGGTATCTCATAAGGGTCTGTCACTAAAAAGTTTGTCCTGAGCTGCCAGGGAATCTGATCTTGGTAGCTAATAAAATATTTTACACTGACATTAACTCAGAGCTAACATTTATAGAGGGCAGCCTACAGACTATGAAGTCTAAGAAAGGCCAGTTAAGAGAAACTTGGCTGGCTGCAGCAAATTGTCAGGCTTTATAACACCAGATGTGTTGTGTTTTATGACTTTTTATTTTGGTACATATAACCCATTTTATCATGTAAAGGTAAAGGTAAAGGTGCCCTTGCTCGAAAGCCAGTCGAGTCCGACTCTAGGGTTGCGGTGCTCATCTCCGTTTCAAAGCCGAAGAGCCAGCGCTGTCCGAAGATGTTTCCGTGGTCATGTGGCCGGCATGACTAAACACCAAGGCTCACGGAACGCTGTTACCTTCCCACCGAAGTGGTACCTATTTATCTACTTGCAATTTCTTGCTTTCGAACTGCTAGGTTGGTAGGAGCTGGAATTAGAGACGGGAGCTCACTCCATCATGCGGCAACTCGGGTCTCGAACTGCTAAACTACTGACCTTCCACAGCCTGCAGTTCAGCATCTTAACCACTTGAGATGACTGCTATACACAGTTTTACTAGCAAAGATCCCCTGGTGTTTAAAAACATTTCAGACTATGTTGGAATTTTCATAACTCATTGCAGAGCCTTTTAGTAGTTAACTCAAAAGTTGTGTGATAGGGGAGAATACTCAAATACAAACAATATGATTTTTTTTCTGCCACATTTCATTACATGGCAAGATTAGACCTGAAAATGTGTCTCAGCTGTACCCTTTTAGATAGACATTTGTATAATTGAACACACTTCTTTTTTTTTTTAAATCTCTCTGCACATAGAAATCAAATAAGTTGGCATGGTAGGAAGGGTTCTGGCATTGCCTACTCCCTGACATTCTAGTTTTCAAGGTGAAGGAAGGGTGTTGTTTTTTCTCTCTATGTGGAAGATGTCATGATTGGCTACAGTCTGAAGTGGAATTGCCCCAGCATAGCTTTAATACTTCAGTAGAACAAGGCCCTGTTACTGTTTGAATAGAAGGCTTAACTTTTACCTGTGGCTTTAATCAGTTTGTGCTGAATTCAGTCTAAATACGATTATAAATAGCTGACAACCCAGATTTCAAGAATGCATTATTCAAAGGAATGCTTTTTTTTTTTTGCATCTTCTAAGCTGTTTTTCTTTCATTTAACCAGGAACCTGCCACTGGCGATTGCAGTTTCTATGCCAATTGTGACAATTATCTACATTATGACCAATGTAGCTTACTACACAGTGTTGGATATTAATGCTATACTTTCTAGTGATGCGGTGGCAGTGGTAAGTTGGATATTTTTCTGTATTTTTGTATGTGATAAGGATGTACTTCTCGGGTCAGCTCCTCAACTCTGAGCTACGTGGGGTTCTTGTTGAAGCTAAAGTGTGCCAATTTCTGCTTGGTCACTATCCATGACCTGACCGCCTTCTGATTTTTCCAACCTGCTTAGATCAATATATATTTCACACATGGGTGAATTGGCACCTTATATGCAGCAGGTAACCTATATATGCAGCAAATAACCTGTGCATTTCCTCCAGGTTTAATAGCTTCCTCATAGACTGAAATGCAACTTGTGCAGAATTAGTAGTGCTGACCTTGTGAATATGTGAAGCTACCTTCCATGGAGTCAGACCATTGGCCTATCAGGAACAGTATTATCTACTTGGACTGGCAGTGGCTTTCCAGGGTTTCAGGTGGAACTCTGTCACATTGCCTACTACCTGAGTCTTCCCCCCCAACTGGACATGCTGGGGGCTGAATTGGGGACCTTCTGCATGCAACAGCAGGTGCTCTGCCACTGAGCCAAAGCCCCACCCTGTGCATGTTAGAGATTGGTAAAGTTGGCTATTTGGTGAGGTTCACAACAGTTTAGGGGCTCACCAAGATAAGTGTTGCTGTATTTTGCAGCAGAGGAAATTCCAGAGTGTACTTTCCCTTAAGGGTGAAGCACTGACTAGGTTGGAAGGGGCCCATGTAGCTTCTGATTGACCCCGTACAATGTGTATCAGAGATCATACAGCAACACTGAGGCCTCAGCAGTGGACTGTCATCTCTGGCAAAAGCAATAGCCAGGCTGAAAATGGCGTGTGTTTTCCCAGTCCACCGTCTCATCTGGCAGTGGGCTGCAGCACGTGTCATGGCAGGTTGAGTTGGATGAGGAGGCAGGAACCCACTGTTGGCACCTTGCCTGAACCATCAGCACTCTTGTAGCTGTTTACTTCTTAAAGGTATTTTGCAAATTGACAGCTAATACCAAAAGAGGGTGTTTGAAAGACATTCCTGTTTTTTATTCCATTGTTATTGTGCATTGTCATGTTGAAATACATTGAAAAAGAGACTAGCTATCTTATCTTTTATCTGTTTACTTACCTAGGTGTTGACATGCGTAATGTTTGAACTTATCGATCTCAAGCTGATAGGTTACATCACCTCTCTGCTTTCTAGTCCCACTAAAAGTGTTGTGATGTGTAGAACTCTGTTACATTAAAGGTTAGCATTTTATCCAAGTTTTTTCACATAAATTTGAAGGCCTGTGATCTTTTATGTGAGATAATGTGAACGCAGAAGCCGATATTCATGAACATGCTTGAAGTCCTGTAATGTTCACATACAAGGAACAGAAGAAGTATGGACTTCTCTTTTAAGGTCTTTAATACTTTAACTCCTGTCATGTTGGTGGGTGTGAACTTGAGTTGGTTAAAGTTTGTATCCACGCTTTCTCCGAGGTGCTTAAGAGATGGTGCTTTATTTTGGTAAATGCAGTGTGAGGAATGTCAGGCTGAGAGAGAGTGATTTGCCCAATGAGTTTCATGGGGACTTGGTTTTCTGTGTTCAATCCCACCCCGCCACTGAGCCACTCCAGGTCTTTCAGATTAGGATCTGCTTGTCCTTTCCGGTGTGCCCCTCTCCACTGTTTGCATTGTGGAAAGCAGTCCTAAAGAACTCTGACCAGATCTCGAATTAGTTTATTCTTTATCATTCTTATATTGTGTGTGTGTGTGTGTTTGTGAAATGGCATTCAGAGAACATGGCAGACAACTGGCTTCAATCTGTATTTGCACTATAATGTCAGCATTAGAGTTAGTTAGAATTTCCATTGTAATTGGCGGGAACTAGATGTTCCAGGAGAGTGACTGCCACCCAGAACAATGGTTTTATGTCTCCTCTTCCGTCAATAACATGTAAGTGAAACAAGATCCATCCACCTGCTTTGTTGGTAGCTGATTACTGGGGAGGGAGGAGCTGGAACTCTAATGACGTGTCATGTTGTGCTTTTTGGATTTTTGTTGCGATTTTCAGGGAGAGAACGGAGAAGGTAAAGATGCAAAGGGCTGTTTTCAGTGATAACCACACAGGTTCTGCAATGTGACTATAATGTTTAAAAAGTATAACATCCTAAACATAGATCCACTGAGATATGAAGGGGAGAAAAGCTCAGATTTGAAAGGTCCTTTAATTGGCTGCTTTCTTTTTAGAGCAGCAAATTGTTATATGAATGTGTTGGAAACTTATCTTGCTAACTATTTATGAGTATAATTCTTGGCTTCTTGCAATCTATTTATAGTTAGTACATTTTGCGCATTGTTCCTCATATATTTTCCTTTGTGCCATTACTTCGGAGTACCTTTTCTTTCCCTTTTACCTTTTTAAATAGTAAGCATTTGGTTACTCGGGATTGTGAGTTTTGGTGTAAATAATTTTAGGAAGATTTGGGAAGTCAGTTGAAAGATGTTCCCATAAGCTCTTGTTAAGCTTATCTGGTATTCATTCTTACATATCTGCACCCACAATTCTAAGAAGGTCCAGCAATTTAATATTATCTTAGTTCAAGACCTATCTATCAGTTAAAGCTTCTTAGTTGAGATTCAACTTCCTTAGCTTCTTTTACATATTTGTCTCCAGTACTGGTTTGTGATGTCATAGAGTATACTTACTACACAGACTTGTTGTACTAGTCATCCTCTATTCCCAGGGAACAGTACTTCTGCAAGGCATCTAACATATCAGCAGTAATTCCCAGGATTTTTGGGAGATACTATGACGATTGAACTGATGTAAATGTGAAGTGTTTATGCCCTCTGTAGCCCCTCCATGAGGCTCTTATGACCACATTATTTGTGGGTGGCAATCTGTCTCTTGGGAGTCGCTACTTAGAATCATAGAATCACAGAGTTTGAAAGGGTCATACAGGCCAACTAGTCCAACCTCCTGCTCAATGTAGGATTAGCCTAGAGCATAACTGACAAGTGTTTGTTCAGCCACTGCTTAAAGACTGCCGGTGAGAGGGAGCTCACTACTTCCCTAGGTAGCTGATTCCACTGTTGCACAACTCTTACTGTAAAAAAGTTTTTCCTAAGATCCAGCTGGTACCTTCCCACCTTTAATTTAAACCCATTATTGCGAGACCTATCCTCTGCTGCCAACAGGAACAGCTCCTTGCCCTTCTCTGGCAGCCCTTCAAATACTTAAAGAGAGCAATCATACCCCCGTTCAACCTCCTGTTGTCCAAACTCAACATTCCCAACTCCCTCAGCCTTTCCTCATAGGGCTTGGTCTCCAGGCCCCCGAACATTATTGTCACTCTCCTCTGCAACCTACTCCATTGCTGCTAATAGTACTAGTAGAGTAATTACTGCCTTACGCAACAGTGTCTTAGCCACTGAATTTAGGAATAGCCTGTTTCCAGCCTACTGATTTACCGTCCAAAGTGGACAGGCTGAAAGTGACAGAGGAAATATTTCTAACTAGTTTTTAACTAGTAGAAAACCCTTCTGCCAGCGGAGAAGTGGTTGGTGATTTTCACAGATTTCCTCCATCACACAATAGATACCCCATGGAATTCCCAGTCTCTCTACTAGTACTATTAGCAGCAAATCATCACTCTAAGAGTAGCAACTTCCAAGTAATAGATTACCACTCACAAATAATGTGGTCACCACTCACAAATAATGTGGTTACAAGTGTATCATGGGCCACAAAGAGCATAAACACTTCAAGGGGCACCACAGACTGGCAGGAAGTGGTAGGCAGAAAAGTTTGCAGCCTCAAGTGGTGCTGTGCATGAAATCAGATCCGCCTCAGTGGTGCCACTTACAAGAAGCTGCATATATATCCCATTTTCTCCCTACATTGCACTTCTGAGGTTTTCATCTTGCAATCATTGTGTACTTGATAACCTTTTCACTCAACGTTCTACTTTTGATCTGTTAAAAAAATATCTTCACTATTTTGCATGCTAATTTGACAAGCCACTCCTGTATATATAACTATGATATGTAATTCCATTTCATCATCTGACAAAGTGTATGTGCACACGGAAGCTCACACCTTGAATAAAACTTTGTTGGTCTTAAAGGTGTCATTGGACACTAACTTTGTTCTGTTGCTTCAGACCAACACAGCTGCCCACCTTGATCTTTCCACCCTTGGCTTTCCTTGAAGTCATCTTAAACAACCTTGTCCTGTTTACAAACACACCAGCTTTCTAATTCAGAAGCATCTGATTTATTCCTCCTCCTCTCACAAAGAGTTTCAAACTAGAACAGTTTCTTGACTGGGGATTGCATTTTGGAGCAAGACTGATCTTGCCTGGGTACTAATTTATACAAAAACCTGTCCCGATTCAGGAGATAACATATGTACAGTGTGTAACTCTTGTTAGGATCTCATAGAAATTTCATTGCAACATATTATTTTATATCTTTTCTAGCCTGTTTGTTTTTTCAGGTAATTGAGACTGAATGCTTCATTCAAGAGAGCATTATATTGTTGCAGCCTGTCCTGTTCCTTAGTATAGTCATTGCTAGCTAGCATATCATACCTAACGATGCCATAATGCACAATGCGGCTTTTGCTTTATTAGATATAAACAGTTAAAACATGTTTCTCCCTCTCTCTCCTTCTTAGAATACAATGTGTTAGGAGTTAACAGATATAGTCATTCCTTTAAGTGGATTGCATTTTTTCATATTTTTTCATTTAGTTTCTGATATCTTCCAGGTATTAGTTCATAGTGTGACTGCATTTTTGAACTCATTGAGAACTTCTGAGTAAAATAACTTTAGGAATGTCTGTTTTATTCTCCTTTGACTCTTCCTTCCTTACACAATCAGTTTTCTGGCACAGTATTTCAGGAAACTGACTCTTCCATGGTATACTGAATTTATTGCTGAATGATACAAATTTTTAGACACTCTTTTTTTGTGTTAGTGCTGCTATTAAGATATAGAGATCCTGCCTTCCTCAGCTAGAACTGGATAGAAAATATATCTTTTTATTT